CCCAGAGGCTCCCAAGGAGAGATGCCGGGTGGGGAGGACGGTGTACCTCGGCTTCAGGTGAGGACAGAGGAAGGTTCTGCCAGCTCATGGGACAGCTGGTGTGATGCAGACGAGGGGGAGGACAGAGGGGACGTGAGGTCTCACACAGGAAGGGTGACTGAGGATGAAGGAGAAACAGGGCCAGGTGGGGAGACCCTCAGAGCAGGGCCTGGGACCCACCCTGGCCTCAGGGACTTGGGGGTTCAGGGCAGGACTGGGCTGGATTGATTGCTGGGTGCATTTGCCATTCCCTGCCTTGGTTCCCTGTGCACAGGGCCCTGTGAGGAGTGAAGGAAGTGCCTGTGGTGTGGGCTGGGGTGTCTGCGGAGTTGTCACTGTGGAGGGGTCAGAGTCGTGAGGAGGGTGCAGGCCTAGAAGTGACATGCGGGTGAGGAGGAGTGTGAATGGTTGTCCTGGGCCTGGGCACTGGGCACCTAAGGACCAGGACAAGTCTGAGTTTGGTTGTCTGAGGGTCCACGTATGGGGGACCCTGGGGAAACTGGTAAGAGAGGAGCCGGGCACTGCAGGCAGGTCCACAGCCTGGATGGTGGTTTTCCGCTCTGTCCCCCACGTGTTCTATTCCACGTGCTGGACACGGTGACCAGTGGTGATGAGGAGAGCTGGCACTGGTGCCTGGGACCTGGTGTAGCTGACGGTGGGACGTCTGGGTGGAGCAGGAGCCGGGTAGGTGTGTAGGGCGAGGACGGAAGGTCCCAGAAACGGAGGTGCATGAGTGACTGTACCAGAGGATTGTAACTTGTGGAGGTGAGTGAGTGGAGACACGGAGAGGCCCAAGCCATTGGAGGGCAGTTTTATTACTTCGGTTTCCTGAGAGGAGGGGCGCAGGGCCACGTGGGGAAGCACTCGATTCATCGGGAGCATAAACATGAGCAAAGGGAAACCAGTGGTCAGAGCCTTTACTGGGCTTTCCAGGGAGAAGCAGGGAGGGTTGGACGAAAAGTTTAGGGTGGCTCGTTTGCACAGTTGTCCTGTCCTGGGGTGTGAGGCCGTCCCTCGCTGTCTGGTACCTGGCCCGGCTGATTTAGGGCCGGGAAATACTGACGTGCTGTGTGAGAGTTCCTGAAGGAGTTGGTTCAGGGTATGGGCTCTGGGTTACAAGGGAGCTATAAACAAATTGTGGCCCGTACTAAAGCCCTGTAATTAACGGATAGCAAACGGATAAACACAGAATCCACAAAAACAGAGTTAAAGCAAGAAGCTGCTCATGAGCCGAACTCTTGCAATTTTGGCAGGGCCGTGTGGTCTTTGAGGACGTGGCCATATTTTTCTCCCAGGAGGAGTGGGGCCTCCTTGATGAAGCTCAGAGACACCTGTACCATGCTGTGATGACGGAGAACTTGGCGCTTCTGTCCTCTCTGGGTAAGGTCCCCACACTCACCCTGCGTCCTGGGCTGGGCTCTGTTCTTCCTCTTTTCCCGGGGGCACTTCCGACCTCCTATGATGAGACCACAGGTCCTGCTTCCTGTCCTGGTTTTCTGGCACGTGTGTTGTTGGGGCCGGAGCCAGGGCCAGGGCTGGGCTGTGTGTACAAGTCATTGCTCTCTCCAAGCAGCCCTGGCCCCTTATTGTGTGAATGTTTGCATCCCGCTGAAATTCGTATGTTGAAAACCTCATGCCCAAGGTATCAGGAGATGGAGCCTTGAGGGTGTTCAGGTCATGGGGGCAGAACTGTCATGAATGTGGTTAATGCCCTTATAAAAGGGACCCCACAGAGCTTCCTAGCTCCTTCCACTGTGTCAGGGCCCAGTGAGAAGTCTGTGAGCCAGAAGAGTGTGGACTGATGTCTGGGTGCCATCCTCCAGGACTGTGAGAAGTACGTTCGTGCTGTTTATAAGCCACTTGTGGTGGTTTGTTACTGCACCCTGAATGGACTAAGGCGATGCCTCTCCCTGCTGTCCTGACCTGTCCGTCAGGACTCTCATCGTGGGAGCTACCCTGGCCATCTCTGCACAGCAGGCCTCCCTCACTGGCTCTGGTCCTGGGTGTGTCCTTCTGATGGGGCCACCCTTCCACCACGATTGTCAAATCCTTCACCAGAACTTCTCTGCTTACAGGTTGTTGGCCTGGAGCCCAGGATGAGGAGGTACCTTCTGAGCAAGGTGTTTGTGTCGAAGTGTCAGAGGTCAGGACACCAAAGCTGGGTCCGTCCACCAGGAAGGCCCTTCCCTGTGAGATGTGTGACCCAGTCTCCAAAGACCTTTTGCCTGAGTACAACACTGATCAAGGGCTGTATGTTTGTGGAGCAAACCTTTCCCAGCACCAAAAGGGGCAGATGAGAGACAAACTTTCCAGAAGAGATGAGGGGAGGGCTTCACTCCTAAGCAGCAGCAGCGAGCACACGGCAGAGAGGACCTGGACGTGCAGCGGAGACGGGAAGGAGTTCCACGGCAGCACAGGGCCCGTCTGGCAGCTCGCCCCGCGCAGTGTGGGGAAGCCACGGAGCAACACTGAGGGCAGGGAGGCCACTGACAGTGGGCAAAGCAGTTACAAGCGTGCTCAATGTGGGAAAGCTTTCAGTCGAAAACAGACACTTGTGCACCAGAACGTCCACACGGGTGTAAGGACTTACGAGTGCAGCAAATGCGGGGAATTCTTCAAGTACAATGCCAGCTTCATAAAACATCAGAGACTTCACAATGGAGAAAGGCCTTATGAGTGCAGTGAATGTGGGAAAGCGTTCAGGTACAGCTCCACACTCCTTAGACACTGGAGAGCTCAAACTGTGGGAAGGCCTTATGAGTGCAGTGAATGTGGGGAATTCTT